GTATACATCAGAACAAATCATCATGAGGCGCGGGAAAATTGAACAACAACTCCTAAACATGATTAGTTCATTCATTGGCAGGAACAGGTCAGGCTGGAGTGATAGGTCATTCCTAATGAGAGTACACATTTAAACTGATTGGTTTAGGCCCTGCAAGGCCTACGTGCGACCACACAGAGCCCTTCAGTTATTAAATAACCAAGCAGCCAGGGGAAATGTTTACTGGGCGGTTCTAAGCATTGTCTTAACAGCTACAGAAATTTCAGGTTTTGCAGGTAGCATAGAAACCTAACAATACCTCCTTTACATTTTAACTCAGACCTTGCAGCTTAGAAACTTTTACAACACCCGGTCTTTTACCCTTTAACTTTTACGCTTTAACTTCAATTTCTTTTACCCTTACAACACCACATAAAAATAAATAAATAGCTCGGCACAGTGGCACATGCCTATGATCCCAGTGGCTTGGGAGGCTGAGACAGGAGGATTGCAAGTTCAAAGCCAGCCTCAGCAAAAAGCGAGGTGCTAAGCAACTCAGTGAGACCCTGTCTCTAAATAAATACAAAATAGGGCTGGGGATGTGGCTCAGTGGTCGAGTGCCCCTGAGTTCAATCCCCCCCCAAAACAAAAATAATAACAAAAATAAATAAAGTAAAGGTATTGTGTCCATTTACAACTAAAAAGATACATATTTTTAAAAAAGAGCCACTGCTCTTGTTGGAAGATCCTTGGGCTCATTTCCTCTTCCCACAAGGGAAGGGAGAGAAGCCCAGAATCACCCCCATTTTATGAATAAACAAAGTGAAGCCAGATAGGTAGCTTTGTTTGTTTGTTTGTTTTGTTTTGTTTTAAGAAGGACATGAACAAAGTAATGCCAACGGAGGTAACAGGTTGTGAGCGTGGGGGTTGGAAACTGCATAAGGCCAAGGCTAGGCGAAGAAGCTGGGATGTGCTGCTGCTTGGAACTAGCCCCAGAGAACGTGGCCTCTTGTTTTGGTCAGTGACCGAAAGACCTGACAAGAACAACATTAGAGGAGGAAATGTTTATTTGGAGCTCACAGTTTCAGAGATCTCCGTCCATAAATGGCTGACTCTCTCGCTCTGGGCCTGAGGAGAGGTGGAACATCTTGGTGCAAAGGTATAGAGGAGGAGAGCAGCTCAGGATACGGCATCAGGAAGGAAAGGGGGAGAGAGAGGGGGGGGGGGAGGGAGAGAGAGAGAGAGAGAGAGAATATATACCCCAAAGGGTTACCCCTAGTCACTTATCTCCTCCAGCCACACTCCACTACCCTGCAGTTCCCACCCAGTTGATCCCCGCCAGTGGTTAGGTCAAGGTTCTCACAATTCAGTCATTTCCATCTAAACTTTCTCGCATTGTCTAATACATGAGCTTTGATGGGGCTACCTCCTGTCCCCCCACCCCGCCCCTTTCTCTCTCTCTTTTTTTGGTACCCAGGATTGAACCTAGTGATGCTTAACCACTGAGCCACATCCCTAGACCCTTTTTTTCTTTTTAAAATTTTTTTTTAGACAGGGTCTAAAAACATTTTGAGACAGGATCTCCTTAAGTTGCTTAGGGCCTCAGGGCCTCCCTAAGTTGCTGAGGCTGGCCTTGAACTTGGGATCCTCTCCCAAGTCACTGAAACACAGTGCCTGGCCGGGGGACACCTCATATTTAAACCATATCACCTCTTTGCTCCTGTTTCCAGGGGGCTGTCCTGGGGCCAGAGGTCAGGGAGGACCTGTGTGGCTCCTGAGCCAAGAGCAGGGTTCATAGAGGGGCAGGTTTCAGCTCACCAGGGGCAATTCCTTGCCGACACAGGGACCCCTGTGCCAGAGGAGTGTGAACAGGCCCGGCAGCTTCTGGGAGGCCAGCTCCATCCAGACCTCACCCTTTATGCCCTGGGGCAGGATGATTCCACTCTTCCTCCCAGGCCAGGTCTGGGGACTGTGTTTGGTGTCTTCCAAGGCTCAGTGCTTCCCCCTGCCAATTGCATCTTCTCCCTGAACTGGCCCCTGAGAGGCTGTGATCGACTTTGGGCCATTATTTCTAGAGGACTCTGTGAGCCCAGAGCTGAGCAGCCTTGTTGAGGACAGCATCAGAGGCTGGAGGAGGGCAAGGGCAGGAGGGGACCAGCTCCCCAGAACATGCAGTCACCTGAGAGCAGTCCAGCAGGTGTTTACAGAGCACCCTCTTTGTGCTGTGGGGACCCAGAGGGCTCTGGGGTGCTGTCCAGGGTTGACTGCATGAAACACAGTTAAGAAATGCTTTGCCCATCATGACATTTTCCTCTGGCTTGATCAGATAATATCCTCCCTATGTTCCCCATCAAACCTGGGTGCTGGTTCAAACCTGGCCTGGATCAGGGGACATTTGTCTTTTTTCGCTGGCATGGGCACTAGGGATTGAACCCAGGAGCACTTTACCTGGGTTACATCCCCAGTGCTCTTTAGTTTTGATTTTCAGACAAGATCTCCATAAGTTGCTGAGGGTCTTGCTAAGTTGCTGAGGCTGGCCTTGAACTTGCAATCCTCTTGCTTCAGCCTCCCAAGTTGCTGGGATTGTAGGCCTATGCCACCGTGCCTGGCCCAATGGGATATTTATGATCTTCCCCTGCCTCCAGTATCTGCTCCCAGGCCTCAGAGCCATGCCGTTCCTCTGCCTGCCTTGGCCTAGCCCTTAGTCATCCAGTAGACAATCCTTGCTTGTCCTTTGAGAACCTGGCTCCAGCCTCTCTCCCTAGGGAGCCTTTCATGACACCCCTGGTGGGGTGAGCTGCCCTCACTGGGGCTCCCTATGTACTGATTATCCACTGAGCCCTGGTGTCCAGTGCAGGACATAACACAAAGGACACATCACCATGAACAGAAGGAAGATGTCTGGATAGGCTGGGGGATGAGTTGGGCATGCACTGACCAGCTGCCCCAGGACCTGCCCAGGATGGGCTGGACTATGGCCTTCCAGACACTCACTTCCGTTAAGTCATCTGAGATTCCCCAAAGGGTTGGCTGTGGGGGTGACATGGGCTTGGGTGGGTAGTGTCTCAGGTGTGGGTGGAGAAGGTTTAGGGAGAGATGGGCTGGGGATGCCAGGTAAGGAGATGACCCCGAGCCAATGCTCCTGGCCTCCTGGAGTGCTGGGCCAAGAAAATGTCTTCTGTGTCCAGCTGGGCACTCTAAGAAACAGGCTGGAGAGGGACACCAGGACACATTCCATACCCTCTGTCATGCTCATGTGTGCTGGGCTCTGTCTAAGCACTGTCCACACATGACACATTTCACACTGTGCACATTGACACAGACCATCCACCTGTCCTCATGTGGATCACAGTCCCAGATCCACAGATCCCAAATCTAGACTGCTCCAAAAACATAACTCTGTTCCTAACTAACTTTGATATCGAGTTCATCTATCAGCAAACTGAGGCTGAACTGATGTGAGGCCTTCGTTAGCCTTATTTGTCACTCCACGATGGGGACATGTTCTGAGAAGCGCATCACTAAGTGATTTTGTCATTGTGGAATATTATCGTGTGCATACACACAAACTAAGACAACCACTATGTCACTAGGTGGTAATATCTCATGGGACCACCTTCTAAGTGGGGTCCTCTGAAACATTACATGGCATGTGACTTTATCTGTGTTTCCCTGCAGAGGTATTCCTGGCTTCACAGCAGGTGTCCATCCCACAGGGGGAAGTACCTAAAATTCAGAACATGTATCATATTGCCTCACTACAATTCAGAACTTCTGAATTCCAAAGTGTACCTGGCCTACAGGTTTCAGACCCACAATATTCTTAGTAACAGATGAAGAAACACAAATGAAGTAGGCTGCCCAAAGTCAATGGCTGGGCTCTTGGGCATTCTGGGGTGGGCAGGGGGTGGGCATAGTCGCGACCAGGCTGGGTGGTAGAGTGCCACCCCTGGGTGCTGCTGGCCTTCCAATTTCCTATGCTTTTGGAAGCAGAGATGGCTGGTATGGGTGGGCGTTGGGGAGGGGAGGCCAAGTTGGGAGGGTCTGCTCACCCTCTGTCTCCCCCAGATGGTGTGGTCCTGGTGGATCCTGAGTATCTCAAGGAGAGGAGAGGTAGGTTGTGGCCCACCCCCCACCTTCCAGGGCTTCTTCCCGCCAACCTCAGCCAGGGTCTTGCTGACTGCCAGGCAGGATATTGGCTAATCTAACTGCCCCTCCCTGCCCATCTCACTGGTCCCGTTCTGCAAGCACCCACATAGGTGCTCTTGCCTCCTCCAGCTGGGGCAGCCCTGCCCATGCCAGGCTAGGAGACCTTATCAGTGCCAGAGTACTTTTCTTATCACTGTGTCATGACAGTGACAAGGCTGGGGTGCCGAGAGGGCAGGAATTAGGGTCTTCTTTCACAGAGGAGAAAGCGGAAGAGATTGTGCCCAGCCAGCAGGGAGGCAGGGCAGGGGCTGGGCTGGGCCGAGACCTTGTGTCCTGGACACTGCCCTGTACTTGCTTCTCGTCCTCTGCCAGCCCCTGACCCCATCAAACAGTCCATGACCTGTGACCCTCACACATGACCAACTGGAGTGGGACGGGGAGGATGGAGCTGGCTGAGCAGGCAGCCCCACTTCCTCCAAGGTCTTGAGTAACAGCCCTTCCAAGGGACAGAGCACACCCTCTCCACGGGAGCTTGGACAAACCTGTGGCCTCCAGTCAGCACTCTCGGGGGTGGGTGGGTGGGTGCGGCCCTCCCAGGCCTGTCCTTAGTGCTTCTTGCTCCCCACAGTCTATGTGACACTGACCTGCGCCTTCCGCTATGGCCGGGAGGATCTGGATGTCCTGGGCCTGACCTTTCGCAAAGACCTGTTTGTGGCCAACGTGCAGTCCTTCCCGCCGGCCCCCGAGGACAAGAAGCCCCTGACGCGGCTGCAGGAGCGCCTTATCAAGAAGCTGGGCGAGCACGCCTACCCCTTCACCTTTGAGGTCAGGGACTGCCAGCCCCGCCCGGGCCCGGGTCCAGAGGGGCCGCCTCCAGGAAGCGCTCAGGGTGGGCACATGGGGGCAGCGGGGGCAGCCGCTCTGTGTCACCCAGTTCCCCAGTGTACGCTGGGACCTGGGGCACTGTCACTTACACTACCTGGTAAGTGTCTCTTCTCTGGCCACGGCTGGGGGCGTCACCCTTACCTCTGGGCTATTCCTCGGACCTTCCCAAGCCTGGGTCACTGGTGGGAGAAAGGGGGGCCCAGGGGTGGCTGAAGAGAAAGAGCCCTGGGTTGTGACAAGGTGTTCCCCCTCAGGTTGGTTGCCATTGTGCCCAGTGTGGACCCAGCTCACGGGGGTGGGGTGGGGGTGTAGGGGCTGTACCTCCCTGTCCTGCCACCTTTCAGTTCTGAGATTCCAGGGTTCGCGTTACACAATTTCTGTTTCCTAGACTCTCTGATTCTGTGCATCTTCCCCGTCCTGTGAGCGGTCGAGAATGGAGGGGAGGCACAGAAGCATCTTTTCATGTAGATGTATTAGTTTCCTTTGGTTGCTGTCATAAGTGACCACACATTGGTGACCTACCAGTTAAAATGACACACATTCATGACCTTACCCACCATTCTGTTTCCACGGGGCTAAAACCAAGGCGTGGGCAGGGCCATGTCCCTTCTGGAGGCTTTAGGGGAGCACCCATGCCCGCAGCTTCTCCAGCTTCACATTCCAGGGAGGCTGCGCACACTCCTGTGCTCTTGGTCCCCTTCCTCCACCCTCAGAGCCAGCAATGGTGCCTTGAGCCTTTCTCCGTCCTTCACTCTTGCACAGACTCTTCAGCTTCCTCTTCTGTCTCTCATGGGTACATTGGGCCCACCTGGACAATCCAGATGCCTGTCCCCATCTCAATGTTCATCTGCAAAGTCCTCTTGTTGCATAATGTAACACTGGTCACATGATATGGGGATTAGGGTGTGGACATCTTTCAGGAGCCACAGTAGACATCATGGAAACACCTTTCTCAACTATTGCTTCGAGGAGTGGGTTGGGCCAAACCCTTTAGATGAAGAATAGTTAAGTCCTTGTCTTCACTGGAGGGGCCTCTGGCCCTGGATGGCACATGGTGTGGCGTGTTCTGATGGGGGAGACACAGCCTATTCCAGGGACCCCTAGTCTGGTGGGGGCAGGTGGCCTGTCCTTGGGCCTTGGTCAGATGAGTGTGTGTGAGTGTGGGAGTGTGGGAATGTCAGGGATGTGGAGACACGGGGAGGGACAGTGGTAGATGTGACAGATGGCTGATTCTGTCTTCTAAACAGATCCCTCCAAACCTCCCATGCTCTGTGACGTTGCAACCAGGGCCTGAAGACACGGGGAAGGTAGGTGCATCATCTACCTGGGTCCAGGACTCTCGTGTCCCCAGGTCCCTGGCTTTCTCCCTGGGAGGTGCTGGACATGTAGAACCACCCTCCCTGTTAGAGACTCCTATGGTCTAGACCCAGTTGATCCCTCCTGGGTCAACCAATCTCTTCAGACCAGGTTGCGGATATAGTTAGCCCCACTCCGACATCCCGTGATATGTCCCTGTCACTGATCCTATTATTGGCTGCAACTGGACCAAAATGTTCTGAGGATCTACACCTGGCCTCACAACCTTGTATGGTGGTGAAATCACCACTGTTCCTCACAGAGGAAACGGAGGCTCAGAGAGAAGCCACACCTGCAGTGCCCCAGGCCCCAGACCTTCAAAGCAATTTCTTTATCTGCCAGGCAGAGATAACAGAGGGCTGGGGGAGACACCGGAGCAGGGTCTGCATATAGTAGGTGTCCCCGGGCAGGGCTGCCTATTGTCATTTCTGGGCAGCTGCTATGATGAGGACAGCCAAGGGGCTGAGGCTGGAGTCCAGGGAGAAGGACCTAGACACACTGGTTTGGACTCCTGGTGATGGTGGAGTCAGGAATAGCTCAGTGGGAATGTTGGTGGAGTAGGCAGCTGCAGAAGGGGGCAGTGCCGTCCGGGGGCTAAGTACAAGGCTTTGGCGTCATACCCAGGAGCTGTGGGCTGCAGGAGCTTAGCGTCCCTTCCAGTGTCCTGGTTTGTAAAATGAGTGCAGGCTGGCTGTGCCCTGGAGACCCTGCCTCTTCCAAGGCCCCGGGGTCAGCTCCGCCTCCTCCACAGGCCTGTGGTGTGGACTATGAAGTCAAAGCATTCTGTGCTGAGAACCTGGAGGAGAAGATCCATAAGAGGTGCGTGAGGCGCTGGCTGTGGAGAGGGAGGGGACAGAAGGGAGGGGCAAGTCTGAAGAGAGCTAAGTCACAGTACCCAGAAATTTGCATGGAAGGCTGCACACTCCAGCCTCAGAGCTCTGGGAGGGCACTCTGGAAGGCAGGCAGGTCGGTCATGGAAGGCTTCCAGGGGGAGGTGACCTCAATTGCTCTGCCTCAAGACTGCTTCTCCTTTGCACCACTGTACCAGTTCCCTCCCTTATCTTCCTTCCTCTAGTCTCATCCTCTCCAGCCTGCTGGTCTTTTTATTTTTGGAAAAAAAAAAAAAAAATCCTAAATTCAGATGGTGTTCAACGCTGAGCATGATGTCTGCAGGCTATCATTTCCCAGTTTTCTTCCTGGGAGGGGATCAGCAGGAGGTGGAGTAAGTGTGTCAGTAGGGGCCTCTAAGCAAGAGAAAGAAGTGGGGAGAGCCAACCCATGTCTCAGAGAAGGGAATGCGCTCTCCTGAAGTCCCCTATAGAGGGAACCCATGTTGGCAGCCAAAACAAAGCTGGCCCTGACTTCATGGCTGCCCTTCTTGGGGTCAAGTCCTGTCCTGCTTCCTGGCCTGACGGACCTTAGCCAGCAACTCTGATGCCACCACATCCAAAGCCTGTTCCTACACGAGGCTGGCACCAGCTAGGCAGCCTTTCTAGGGAGTGGTTCAAGTTTGCCACCTGGTGGCCACAGGGTGTACTACAGGTGTTTCCATCAGCAGCCCTGGCAGCTCATGGGCATGAGACTGGAACCTTCTCCCTCACTTCATTGTCCCCCTTTTTCCTCCTAAGACCTGAGACTAGTAGTAGGGAAGGAAGGGTACTGTGGGTGTGGGAAGGAACTTGAGCAGAACAAGGGAAAGGAGGCAACACTGAGAGCCACCACCCTGATCCCACCACCAATGGGACCTTTAAGTCCACACGAAATGAGGAAGCACACACAGAAGACTTACTAGTGATAATGAGATAGTAGCTATCGTTTCTCAAGGGCTGACTAGGTGCCAGACATGCTCCGTGAGTGCTGGACAGCTGTGGACTGGCTGAGGGGTGGGTCCTGCTATTGTCAACATTTTACAGTTGAGGCGGCTCAGGCTCAGTGCAGTGACTCAGGCCACACAGTTAGGGAGAGGAGGGGTAGGAGTGTGACCCCGGCTCTCTGGTTCCCGGGGGTGGAGGTGGCTTGTGGCTTGTCTGAGCAATGCCAGCACTCCCTGCATGCTACAGAGATGGCCTCACTGAGTCCCCATCCCTTCCTCAGCTCTATGTGTCCTCACTTCCTCTCGGAGCTCTGTCACCTTCACTGAGCCCCTCCTTCTGTGGGCCTCCGCCCCCTCACTGAGGGTCTCCTTTCATTGTCCTGCAACCCTCTGGCTGAACCCCACACCTCCCAAGCCCCTGTTTCTTCCTGGGATCCATCCTCTGAGCATGTTTTACTGAAAGGGTCTTCATTCCATGGCAGGCACTGTCGTAGATGCTAAAAACATAGCAGTAAACAATTTAGACAAGTCTCTGTCCATAAGGAGCTTACACTATTAGGTGACATGAGGAGGCAGGAGGTGAAAGCAGTTCCTTTCTTACCATCCTCTTGGGTACCAAGACACAGACCCAAATGAGGTGCTGCCATGGGGTGGCTCAGGGACAGAATGGGGAAGGATGGAGTGGGCCAAGTGGTGACAGTCTAAGTCAGCCTCTCTAGTTAGCTGGCAGTGGGCGCCCTGGCAGCCTCTTAAGTAGGAGAGGGATGTAGAGATTGCAAAGAAAGGGGATGAGGCAGGTGACCCTGGCATCTTTCACTCCACCCTTTCCACCAGGAATTCTGTGCGTCTGGTCATCCGGAAGGTTCAGTATGCCCCGGAGAGGCCTGGCCCCCAGCCCACAGCTGAGACCACCAGGCAGTTCCTCATGTCGGACAAGCCCCTGCACCTAGAAGCCTCCCTGGACAAGGAGGTATGAAGCTTGGGCTTGGCAGGGGTGGGGCTGCTCCACAAGGGCCCTTATACCCCACCGACTCCCTGCAAGCCAGTGGTAAAGGTAAAGAGGGATACAGAGGGGCCCGTAGACTCCCTGCCATAATCTTGCTTAGCCCTAAGCTATGAGACAGCACCTGACAAAGGCGGGGGACTCTAATCCAGCTGACTGATACCTGCTCTGAGTGCAGGGGACTTCTCCTCGAGGCATGGACACCCCCTTTCCCTGCAGGCAGCTGCAGGCAGGTACCTGGGACAAGATGTGGGTTGAAACCCTACAGTGAGAATTCAGAGCTGGTTCCCTTAGGGAACTGGGCAGCCCTTCTTCTCCTTCCCAGCTCCTTCCAGAGCCTCCTGTGTCCAAACTGTTGATCTGGCAAGAACTTGAGACATTCCCTAGTTCAACCCCTGTTGTATACAGAAGTCTGGGCTTCAGCCTTCCTTGCTACTCAGGGTAGATGATATGGAAGAGACTTTCAGAGGCTTAGACAACCTGTCCAATATCACATGGCTGTTATTATAGTCATCCTTACTGGTGGCCAGGACAGGACTGGTGCTGGGAATATACCTTTGAATTCAAATACCTCTCAATGGTCCCACAAGGGAACTGAAAGCTAATATACTTGGTGGCTTCAATGCTATATTTGCATTAATGGGAAGTGGCTGAAGCCCTTGGGGCAGTTGTCAGAATAGCTTAGATTTGAGGAGCTTGGGAGGGCTGTTTCGGGAGGGCTTTTTCCCCTTTCCCTTTACCTAGAACGTGGGTGTCTTCCCAACCAAGGCTCTCCTTTCTTCTCCCAGATCTATTACCATGGAGAACCCATCAGCGTCAACGTCCACGTCACCAACAACACCAACAAGACAGTGAAGAAAATCAAGATCTCGGGTACCCTGGGGAGAGGGTCAGCTTGGGGTGGGCAAGAGGGGACCCTTTCAAGGGTTGGGGGGGATCACTAGAGGCTCTCCTCTTGTCATGATCCTTGAGATAACTACTGCCAAAGACTTCTGAAGCCTAGGGCCTGCCCTGAACCAAGAGACCCTTGGAGGCTGGTGCCTCAGGCTGCTCATGGCCAGTTCAGGCCATCCCTTATCTCAGGTTTCCTGGGCCCTGGACATGGCTGTCCCTACAGGGATGACCTTTGGCTATGGAATGAAATGGGTATTTCAGAGGCTACATTTTGGGGGGAAGATGGCGGTGGTGTCCTACAAATTCTCCCAGGTAGACTCTGGCTGTTACCCAGAACTGAGCATCCCACCTCGGCAGCTGGGAATACCCCCTGGGAGCGGCACCTCTGGTTCACGCGCCCTTCCACCTCCTTCCCTAGTGCGCCAGTATGCGGACATCTGCCTTTTCAACACAGCACAGTACAAGTGCCCCGTGGCCATGGAGGAGGCTGAGTAAGTGAGCGCACGCTGGGCCTCGGGAGTGTGGGGTTGGGTGGCAGTCCAGTCACAGGCCCAGCTGGCTCTTCTCCACCTGGCGGAGGGCTGGGCCTCAGCCTTCCTTGCCACTCAGAAGAGATGATGTGGAAGAGACTTTCAGAAACCGTCCACCTGATTTAGTTAACAGTGGTAGAGCACTTGCCTAGCATGTGTGAGGCGCTGGGTTCAATATTTAGCACCACATAATAAATAAATAAAATAAAGGTATTGTGTCCATCTATAACAAAAAAAGAAAAAGAAAAAGAAAATGCACACTGCAGTCAAAGAAAAGACTCCATAAACCTTGAACAACAAAACAAGAGCTAAGGAGTGAAAGGAAATTGGGTTGTCGAGTGAGAATAATATGACACTGTACCAGAAACCTGGGTGGAAAGGAGAAACTTTTCTCTGAGCTTCCTGGGAGTTGGGGCAAAGGCCCTGGGTGTACAACTTTTAGTAATCCCCCTCACTGGGTAAAAGGGGTGTATGTGGGAGGATATAGAATAATTGTCCAGAAAACAAAAAATGTCCAGGTTTGAGGAGAGCTGCTATGGTGAGCGTGGAACTTTGTCCCAAGTTTATTGGCAGATAAGATGCGAGGAGAGATCTCAAGTTTATTGGCAGATAAGGAGAGAGGCATCTTATCTAGAGGAAGGGAATACTCCCAAAAGAAGACACATCTTTTTTTATTTTTTTTCTTTTGCTCCTGGTCTTTGGGAGTGGGGTGGCAATTGCATTGTATGTAGTTTTACATATATGGGGATATTTATTCATATATAATTACAGTCAATATTTTTTGCAACTTAAAGACATTTTAAAAGTTGGTGTGGCTTGTATGATTGCGCACACCTGTAATCTCAGCAACTCTGGAGACTGAGGCAAGAGGATGGAGAGTTCAAAGCCAGCCTCAGCAACTTAGCAAGGCCCTAAGCAACTCAGTGAGACCCAGTCTCTAAATAAAATATTAAAAAGGGCTGGGGATGTGGCTCAGTGGTCAAGTGCCCCTGAGTTCAATCCCTGGTACAAAAGAAAAAAGTTATATGTGATCTCGGAGATAGTTTTTAATGTGACTGTGCTATGAGTAGATCAAACATTCCCTCTTATTGGTTATTTCCTCTACCCACTATTGATAGAAAAAAATAAAAAACAAAGCCGTGAGGCCTAGAATCCTGGTGAAGGGTGCAGTGAGGTGACCCAGAGCCAGAGCACCCTGTATCCCCAGAGGGACACCCTCAGCTCTGCCAATGTGCACAGGAGCACAGGGCAGCCAGCAGGGACAGCAGGACGCTGCTCCTGTGGATGGCCTGCCTGGTCTCTTTACTTCCTGCGGAGGCCTGTGAGGTGGGGGCTGCTACTGTCCTAGTATGACGATGGGGAGATGGGCTCAGAGAGCGGTGACCTGCTCAGCTCACAGAACTTACAAGAGGCTGGCTCCAGGGCTGGCCCCTGTCATCTGCTGCACCCCTGCTGTTTTCTTGAAAGGGGGAGGGGATGGAGCAAGCATTAGAAAAAATGGAACAACCCAAATACCCTGCACCATGGCTAGATGTGCCATAAAGCAAGCGAAGTTTTCATTGCGTAGCCTGAGTGGCAGGTTCATGGTGTCCTGTGGCTTCATTTATGGTTGCAGGTAGCTGTTATTTTAAAGGTAAATGTACTGCGTAGTGCTGTGCTGTTTCTCCACCCCAGGGTCCCTGCTGGGTATGGTATAGATGTGCCTCTTTTCGGTGGCTGTGGTCTCTCTGCCAGAGCCAGGCCTAGCCCAAGTGTTCTCCGCAGTTGGGGAATGGAGGGTTGGCAGAGGGAACTCGGGGCCAGGCTGTGCTAGATGTCCTAACTGGGTTAGGGCACAGGGCTGGGATTGTCTGTGGGTAGGGCCACCTCCACACCTACTTCCCTTCTTTCAGTGACACTGTGGCACCCAGTTCGACGTTCTGCAAAGTTTACACGCTGACTCCTTTCCTGGCCAATAACCGAGAGAAGCGAGGCCTCGCCCTGGATGGGAAACTCAAGCACGAAGACACGAACCTGGCCTCCAGCACCCTGTGAGGACCTGCCCTCCTGGTCTCAGGCTCCCGCTGCTGTCCTTAGTCCCAACTGTCAAGGAAAAGGCTCAGGCTGCCCTCTTCCCTCAGCCTTGTCTATGGCCTGTCCACCGAATCTTGAGTGGTCAGGGAGGCTGTCCCCCTACGCCCATCCTCCTGGGGGGACCCAGAGGACAACACAGGCCACTAGACCTGGCTCATTCAGTCTGTGCCAGCCCTGGTAGTTGGTCTGGAGGAGCAGCTGGAAAGGCTTCCTGCCAGAGGCAGCAGATCCTGACCTGGTGTCCTCAGTCAGAAGGGTGTAGCCTGAGGCCAGCAAGGCCAGAGGGAAGGAGGAACTCCTAGGAGGTCCCAGCAGAAGGGGGACTGGAGAGTTCGGGACAGTGAGCTGGGTGGACCAGACATGGTGCATCCCTTCAAGTCAGGGACCCCTGGGCCATCTGTCACTACTGCCCGTGGGCATCACTGAATCCTTCAAGTCACCCTGCTGTAGCAGAGCCTCGGGGTGTGGGGTGCCTGTTGTACCCTCCCTGCTGAGCCCCACGCTCTGACTGGGTTCCAACCTGCCTCTGCAGCCCCTGTATCCCCGCTGCCAACCCAGGCTGCCCTTGGACCAGCCTCTCTTCCTCACGCCCTGCAGAGGCTGCCCACTGACCTCCAAGATTCCCACCGGCTCCTCTACCCTGGCTCTAACTCTACCTGTCCTCAAGACTTTGTCAGGGCACCAGCCACCTCCTGGAGATGTCCTTTCCTGACCCTTGCCCGCAACTGCCCCCAGCCTCTCCAAATTCCCAGTTCAGTCCTTTCTGCTCACAAGTTACTGAGCACTAAACCATGGCTGGGAGAAGCTGGACTCATTAGTGAGGAGTTAGAGCCCCACCCCTCACAGCCCTGCCAGACACTGGCCACGAAGGGGTGGGGAGCTTACCAAGCACACAGTGAGGGCTCTCACCTCCAAATCTGGAACTCAGGGCTTCAAGTTCCAGCTTCCTAAGGGTAGAGGTCACCTTTTCTCACCTCCGCTGGGACCAGGGTGGGCCACTCACTGGACTCCATTGGACATGGTAGCTGAGTGGCCAGGAGAGGGATGGACAGTGCTGTCCTCCACCGCATCCTGCCACCTGCAGTGCCTCACCCATCAGAGAACCCTGTGGATCAGCTTCCCTGTGTCACCTTGTAGGTTGAGGGAAGGCGCCAACCGTGAGATCCTGGGGATCATTGTTTCCTACAAAGTGAAGGTGAAGCTGGTGGTGTCTCGAGGCGGGTGAGTGTTCTAGCCCAGCCCAAGAGCCCAGATGTACAGGGGCCCGCAGCCCCCCACCCCATTCCTCCTGTTGGACCTTTCAGCTGTATCTTTTGTGGAGGAGGAATGGGGCGGGAGGACTTCCTGTTCTTCTCTTCCTCCTTTCTGTTCCTCTTCTCCTCAGCTCCCTTTCCCTCTCCTGCAGTGGCTCTGGGCCGTCCTTCCCCATCCCGGCTTTTTCCCACTCTCTTTGTCCTCTTCATGGCAGGTCAGGACCTTGCACTGAGTACTGTGCCTGGTCCAGGAGGGAGAGCAGGTCCTAGAGGGCACCACGATGCTCACACACCTCCAGACATAGCACCCACGCCACTCTTGCCCAGGCTGATCTGCTGGGGAAACAGCCAAAGCGGGGGGCTCAGAACCCCTGAGCTGGATTGGGGATTTGTAGCTCAGCTGACTCCCATTTTATAGATGGGGAAACAGAAGTCCAAATGGTTCCTGAACTCTTCTCCTTGAGCCCTGGGTTACGGGCTGGGTGCTGGGGTCCCAGTAGTGGACTGGATATATTTCCTGTCCTACAGTATATAGTTTGGTGGGAGCTTAGAAAAAGCTCCCATTGCCCCATATATTGGGGTACATATTATAAATCAAGTATTAAGGCTTCTAATTTGTTAAAGGAATTCCCCCCCCCCTTAATTTAGGTCATAAATGTCTATGGAAAGATTGAAAAAATGAAATAACATTAGACATTAAGTCTCTTTATTATTAAAATAATGACTCTTTGCAGGTGGCAGTGTGTAATACTGACTGTATATTATAGGAACTCTCTAAATCCCAAATCCCATGTCATGTGACCTTGCAGGACCCACAGTTTTCCATATGCTTCCGGATCCCCCAAAGTCTTCCTTCTGCCATTAGCTATTCCTGACAGGGAGGAAGAGCTCCTTTACAGAGGAGGATCCGGGGGCCCACCTCGGCCCCTGGGCAGGTAGATGCCACATCAGTCTCCCTGAATGAGCAGTCAGGGCGTGCAGGGGTCGGGGGTGCGTCCCTCGGGTCCGTCTGCTCTGCTGGGCAGCAGAGGAGGTGAATAATGTGTTTTTTCTTCCTCTCTGCACTCTCTCCTGACCACTCCTCCTGCCTCCTCTGGCCCACCCAGCCTGTTGGGAGATCTTGCGTCCAGGTAAAGTCCCTCCTTCATCCTGCTTGAGCCACCTCCCTGGAGGGCCCAGAGACAATTGGCCTAACTGGTCAGGACCACAGGGCACTGGGTTGAAAGGAATCTAGTGGTCATTTCAGAACTTGGGACCAGGTGTATGCTGGGCTAGACCCTTCTCTAGGGATGAGGGAGACATGGCCTTTCCTTAAAACCTTGCCATGCTCTTTCATCCCATTCCAGTGACAGGGACCTTTACAGACAGCAGTGATCTGGGGAGTGGCCACCAGCAGAGCTGACTGAATTCTAATCACCTGATTTATAGGCTGTTTAGGAGAAATGCAGGCCTCGTGGCTTAGAAACTTCTACACTAATGAGAACGAACTACTGGCTCCGTGTTGCTAAGGACAGGTCCTCAGAGATCCAATTTTGTAGACAAGATTCCCTTGTAATTTGGTTGGATGGATTTAACATTCCAAAAATGCCCCCAACATAGCCATTTGGCTTCCCATCACAAGATGGCAGTGTCACCCGTCCTAAGAAATCTTGGTCTAGTTTGAGAGATGACAATAATTCAATTTAGTTCTGTATAATTTGGCAAAGACTTTCTGAACCTAGACTTGTGCCCAGCTTTATGCTGTTCTCCAAAGTCCCAAAGAGGAGTCAGAAGTGTCCCTTTTCCTATCCCTTATGTCTTGGGGGAAAATTAAGGTCCAGATCCTTTCAGCCATATCCTATGTGGTCTCCATGAAGACTGGCCAATTCAGTCTTCCATTCACTTCCATCTGATGGCTCACTCTTTCAAGTGAACACTTTGGAAGCAAAAAACAAAACAAGCCCCACCCCCCCCCCCCCCCCCCCCACACACACACACACACACACACACACGCAAAGCAGAAAGGAAAGGAAAAAGCCAATGAAAAAGAAAGAGCCTTCAGGAGGCTGAGGCAGGAGGATGGTGAGTTCAAATCCAGCCTTAGCAAAAGTGAGATGCTGAGCAACTTTAAATAAGATACAGAATAGGGCTGGAGATGTGACTTGGTGGTCAAGTGCCCCTGAGTTTAATTCCCAGTACCCCCTGCCAAAAAGGAAAAAGAAAGAAAGAAAAAAAAAGTCTTATAAGACCCTCACGTTGCCAGGCAGTTATACACGCCTGTATTCCCAGCAACTCCAGAGGCTGAGGTGGGAGGATTGCAAGTTCCAGGCCAGCCCCAGCAACAGTGAGACCTGGTCTTGAAATAAAAAATAAAAAGGGCTGGAGATGTAGCTCAGTGGTGGAGTGCCCTGGGTTCAACTCCTAGTACCAAAAAAAGAAAACCCAAAGCAAAAGGCCCCTGTGTTCCCATGGAGGGGAAGTACTGGTTCTGACAGGCTCACGCTTCACAGTTTAACCAGATCTTTTACCTACAATGTCTGCTGGAAATTCCAGTGCTTCTAGAAGGTAGGCGTTGTTCTCCCATGTTTCCAAATGAGCTCAGTGGGACTCAAGGCTGTAAAGTGTTCCACCATTGAGAGGGAGGCTGGCAGAGCCTTTCTGATCGCATAACTTGTGCCCTGACCACTCCATTCTCTGTCCCTTCACCCTTCCCAGCTGCCTTGAGCAACAAAACCAATAAATGTGGCTATGCCTGGAGGTACTCAGGGTTTGAGGGGTGTCCTAGGGTGATGGCACCCAAGCTGAAAGATGCCTTCAGGGCTGCTTCTGTCAGTCTCAATTCTGCTGTTGTCACAGTAGTTAAGGGAGTGAATTATGGAGCCATCACTTACTATTAATAGTTGTATGTAAGAGACTTTAATCTCCTTGTGCCTCAGTTTCCCAATCCATACATTGGGGGTAAATAATAGGGTTGTTATAAGGATTAAATGAGTTCCTCTAAGGAAGGGGCCTAGAACAGTCCTTGGCACAGTCACGCCATGCAAATGTCTGCTTTTTTATTCTGTCAGGAGCAAGGGAGAGAGGCCTTGTCAGAGGCACTGGCCGGTGGTCAGTTCTTCCCCATAGCCCCTCCCCTCCATCTTTCACAAGGCTTCCAGACTCTGCATGGTGTAGATAGCCCTAGCCCTGGGCCTTCATTGTGCTACATCCAGATTTCACATTGCCAGGAGCTTCTTGAGGCATGGAGAGATGAAGCAAGGGCAGGTGGGGTCCCATCCAGGAGTTGGGAAGGGCAGTGTCAGGGAAGGTTGGGGTGACTATGGTGATTTGAGGTGGGCAAGGTCCCAGAGCACTGCTAGAGCCACCCCGTGACCACAGTGCACACTGCCCTGGGTACTTCTTTCCCACCCCATATCTGCTGCCAGCCCATGGAATCCAGGGATTCTTCTCAGGACAAGGGAAGTTTCTATTTCCTTCTGGAAGCAGGAGAGCAGGTCTCCTAGTTCAACTCCTAGAGAGACAGATGCTCACCGAAGTGTGGTGGATCTCCCTCTAACACAGCTCTCCCAGTTCTCAGACGGACAGGGCACTGGGGCTCACAGCCTGAGGCTTGGCCCAGGGCTCACTGTGTTTGGGTCTGTGTTTCAGTGATGTGGCTGTGGAACTGCCCTTCACCTTAATGCACCCCAAGCCCAAAGAGGAACCCCCACATCGGGAAGGTAAGCAGGCCCTGTGGGTCATTGGGGTGGGGGGATTCCAGAGAGCTAGTTTCCTCCTCCACCATGTTACCCCCTCATCCTAGGTCCCTCTGAGCTAGCCTTCAGCCTAGTGTCACCCCTTCCCAAGCTCCTCAGGTCTTTTGTGGGGCCCACCACTCATATTTGCTTCTGATCTGCTAGGAGTCAGTGAGCCCTGGCTCCTGCCCTCAGTGGGAGAGAAAGAGAGGAAGCTCATTGCCAGGCATCCAGGGAGGGGCTGGAAGTGGGGGAAGGAGCCACACAGATGAGATGACCTGTTGATATAGCATTTCCCTTTTAAAAATTTTTTTCCCCAATTGATAACGGAGTGTTTACACTTCTTTGGCTCTAAGGCTGTTTCCCTTGAGGCAGACTACGTGTTGCGCATGCAAAGGCAAACAGTGGTCCCACAATTAAACTGAAATGTGAAATGTCATTGATTTTTTACACTCCTAATTCAGAGAGGTTAAAATGTGAAAAATAAACAAAAGCAACAAAACCCCGACCCTCTTAGAGAAACTCACGCAAGCTGGAAATGAATCTGTCATGTTGGAGACCTGTCCCGGGAGCACAGGGTCAGAAGTTCAAATCTGCTGGGTCTGCAGTGGGCATCCAGGACCCTCCCTGTACCCTCCTGCCTTTAAGATGATTTGGGGTGTTTCAAGACCTGGGATGAGCTCCGTTTTGCCGCCCCCCCCCATCTTAGCCAGCCTGTCCCCAACTCCACACTAACCCCTGGGCACCTTGCCCTCATTGTGTTCAGTTCCAGAGAACGAGGCGCCAGTAGACACAAATCTCATAGAACTTGACACGAAGTAAGCCAAACCCTGCCTGTGGATGTTTGGGGGGCGGGCCCCGGGGGCGGGGCGGAGGGTCATTTGCATATATGCTTATTAACCCCTGAGGAGCAGCTGGTCTAACCCCGTCTGCTGAGAGCCGCCTCTGCTCGCCTCTTCAGCAACCCGCTTGCCTGCATGTGACTTGAAGGACCCTCCGTGCCTGTTCCTCTTCCTCCTGCCTTGGTGGGGTCTGTCTTCCTCCCTCGTCCTTGCACGTCCGTCAGTCCGTCAGTCCGTCCGTCCATCCACAGCGCCTGCTGGCCTCACAGGGCTGGTCGGGGCCCTGGGCTTGGCTCTCCTCCCGGCCTTCGCCAACCCATGGAGGCAGGCTGCGGGGTGGGGAAGGGTCTGGGTCCCGTTGCATCTGACTCCTGAGGACCCACCAGTGCAGATTTCCCTGCAGTGAAAGGCCTTGGTGACACCGGACAGTGGCTGGCGGGGGAGGACCTGGGCCTTCTGCACGAATCATCTCCAGGGCCAAGCAGCTTTCTTGCTCCAGCTGCAAAAGCCACCCTCCCTTGTACCCCAGGAGAAATGTGGGATATGGGGACTCCAGTCATACCTTGAGGACTACCCATGTGGCTGGCTCCATGGGGCAGGGGACATTTTGTGGGTCCCTACCTGGTCTTAAGTGGCTGGCTTTTATGGCAGAAAGGAAGCAGCCCTTAGTCCTGCACCCTGCTCAGGTACCCCTTCCCCTACCAGCCTTCCTCTGCCCCTGTGTAGATTTGCTAGCTCCCCTATCCCACCCCCTCTCCTACCCAGGATCCCTGACGGCAGCATGTGAGTGACACTTTTCTGGAGAAAGGGCCTTTGTGGCTTTCTCTCCATTAAGCCAGCCCCACTGCTCTCTGGAATGCTTCCTAGGAGTAGTTTTTTGGGTGAGTGGGTGGGTTTCTTGGGCTTGCTCTTGAGGGATTCATAATACACTGTGAGGATGTGGTGGTCTGGCCTATCATGGTGGGATGATTTCCACCTCTGCCACAGAACCACAGTACTCCCTGTATTTGACATGCCTCCACCCCCTGCAGAGTTAGGGTCCTTTCCTAGGCCTTAGGCACGAGAGTCAAGTTCACGACCCTCCTGGCACTTTTCAATTTCTCCAAGTCCAGTTGTGACTATCCCCAGAGCCTTTCTGCCCCAGGTTGGCCCCAGAGGCCAGAGACCTTGGGGAGTGTGGTTCTGACCTGGGTCCCTCTGTGTCACATGTGTCAAGCCTGTGGATATGACTTCTCTCCTCCCTGCCCTTGCTAGCATGCCACGTTGTCCTTGTTTCTCTCTGCAGCGATGACGACATTGTGTTTGAGGACTTTGCTCGCCAGAGACTGAAAGGCCTGAAGGACGACAAGGAGGAAGAGGAGGATGGCACCGGCTCTCCACACCTCAACAACAGATAGACTGGCGGCCCGCGCCCAGCAGCTCCGGGCCACTCTCTTGCACTAGGATGCTTACTTGTCTTCTTCCTGTTCTGGTTTCCCTCCCCTTTGTTCTTCCAATTTCAACTAGGGGACCCCAAGTGGTCTTCCTGGTCACGGTGATGGACCTCTGGCCTCAGGATTGGCCCCACATCACCATGCCAACAGTGCACCACCTTCACCTCTCTCTGCGGTCACCGCTCCACCCCACCCTCTTTTCATGCTCATTCCCACAAAGGCCACCACAGCCCTGGCCTTGGGATTGGGCTTGAGATGGGGAGTGGGAAGGGCAGGGTGGGGCTGGAGGGGCTCTGTCGTGGTGGGTGTGAGGGCTCGGAGGAGTGGGCATGAGGGCTCAAGACACGTGAGAAGATGTCCCCAGTTCTACCTGGTAATGGTTCTGGCAGCTAAAAGATGACTATATTGAAGGCCACCCCCTCCCAACTGGAGGGGCAGAACCATGGATAGCTTCTCAATGCCTTTTTGCAGTTTGGACCCACCAAAGACCTCTCCCCCTCCACCTTTCTCCTTGTCCTGTGTCCCTGTGTCTGATAGTGGCATTGGTGAAGCTCGTGAGCTCATAGACCCAGGAGTGGAAAAAAGCAACGAAATGACTTCCTTACCAGCAGACACCTAGATGGAGGCGAGCCGTGTCAACTAGCCAGTTTTCTTTGGGACTTGTCAGGATGAGCACCTTAGCTGCCTTGTGTTGTGGTGGTGATGGGGGGACTGGGTTCTCACATACACAAAGGTGGGGCTCTTCAAGCACCAGCCCCTGCAGAGGGAGTTTCTGATGGGGCTTTCAGAGGTGGGCAGAGGTGGGAAGTTGAGCCTCCCCTTCTCCCTTCCTTCGCAGACTTAAGACTTTTTTATCACCAGGATCAAGGTGGGAGGTCCAGGGATAGCTGGGGCCACCAGCATCCCCCTCTTTCTCCCTGTAGTCTTCCATGACTAGGCTGGGTTGGCCCTACAGGTGGGGAGAGTGGCCACTGTCAAAGGCAGTCCTTCCCCAGAAGGTAGCAGGCTCCATCAAGATGCCTTCCTGCAAAGGGAAAGAGGCCATGCTTCTTTCCTTGGGGAATGGAGACCCTAGTAGTTCCCAGTGTCAAAGGTACCTAATACCCATTGGCTGGTGTTGGTGTGATTGAGAACTGGGGCCTTTCCCAGGGCAATGGGGCAGACATAGCGATAAGTGGCAAGTATTGAAAGGTATCCTTGTCTGGTCTTTAATGCTAACTTGCTGTATGATCTTAGGCAAGTTTGTTCCCCTCTCTGGGCCTCAGTTCCCCACTGGAAAACCCAGGGACTTCTGGCTTTGAAAATTTGTGAACATTTGAGCTCTGGTCTGCTGGGTGGAGCCAGGGCTGCTTCCTGTTCCATTGGCTTCTAGAGGGAATTCACAGACCTCAGAAGCAGCAGGACCCAAGAGAGCTCCTGTCCAAACTCCAGGCCTAGGAAAGGCCCTTTTTGGGCCTCCGGGGTGTCACCTGATGTCAAGCCTTGACCATAGCCTGCATGAACTGCTCTGCCCTAAGCCCTGGGTTTGCTGAGACTTGATGGGGGGCTTGTGATAGGGCCTGCAGGGCTTCACAGCCCCTGGAGGATGTGGGCAACATGAGGTTTACCAGGCAAATATACTAATTAGCAGAACGAGGGGGATTCCTTCTCAATTTCTGCTTACTTCTGTCTTGGCCCCATATTTTCCTGAAAAGGGAGACAACACGACTTTTTTATACAAGTTGGATCCCAACTCTTTCCAACCCAGCACCTCTGGGGATGAGCTGCACAAACCTTTCCCCATGGTGAAATGATGGTCATTAGCCTGGCCCCATGTCTGCTAAATCTCATGAATGCTTAACTCAAGGGACCTCCTTCCCAAGTCAGAACCAGGTCAACTGGGGGCAGTCACATTATCCAGGCCAGTCCCATGGTCCTAGCAGCAGGTGCCCCAGGCATCCAGCCCCTGCTGGAACTGGGTCGCTGTGGAGCTGGACGCACAGAGCATGTACCCTTCAGTGTCTTCCTCTGAAACTTGGGGCTGGTACAAGACCCTTAGCATTGGGGGTAACCTCTCCCCACAAATATCTTTTCCCCCATCCCTAACATATGCACACAAAAATTTTGCCAGGCTGGTTTTTGAAGCTTCCTGCTCTTCAAAATCACACTTGTAGGGATTTTTCCAGTGTTAATTGAAACTTCTCCAGCTGCAGGGAGTACCAGGGCGCTATCTTTTTGCTCTTTGAGCCAGGACTGCACAAGGACAATGGTAGAGTGTAGTTGAATTCAGCTTCACCATTCTTTGCTGACAGTTTCTGTGCTCTATGCCCAGCCTTGGTGGCACAGAGATGGATCTATCCCAGTCTCTGTTCCTGGCCAGGGGAAAGTCACAAAGGCATTGCATCCAGGGCTGGTTCATATAGTGCCTTGATGTGAGTTAGAACACAGTGCCCTTCCAGAGGGACTCAGAACACAGCAGAATGCACAGTCCTGTGAGTGTCACACAGGTTGGATTTGGTTCCACTTGCCTATTGGCCAGGTGCCCCTCTCCTCAGCTTTGTGCTGCAACCTTGAGAGACACAGGCCAAAGCATTTCTGTGGTCTCTTCTTGAAGAGGAGGACCCATATCATCTTTCCAGGTTTCTGGTCAGCTCCAGACACCATCTCTGAACTCAACACCTAGAGATGACCCAGTACTTCTCTGCAAGGCCCCTCTCCATCCTGGAGTCAGCCTGGCCAGGTGACACCTTGGAGTGATAGTGGGGGTGGGGGAGCCTTACTAGGCCCCAGGACCAACCCACAGTACTGGCCCTTGTTATGCCAAGTGTTTGAGGCCTATACCTGCCAAGCAGCCCATTTCCCAGTGGGTCATGGGGCTGGCAGGATGATGCCAATCTGGGCAGGAAGGAAGAACTTGGCCTGGGTGTAGCTGCACAAAGCAGAGGGCCAGCTGGGCTTCCTCAGCACCCAACCCAGAGAGGAGTTCAGTCTTGGGAAGACAAGGACTGAGTCCTTTGGTTGGACCCCAGGGCCTTCTCGGCCTCAAAGCCCAGAAAAGCTAGAGTGGGCTTGCCCTGGTTCTGGTCCAGCTGGCTCCCACTTGGTGCAGCGGAAGCAATGCCAGGGCTGAACAGTGCCCAGGGCTGCTTCTCAGGCCTGGCTGTCACCAACCAGTTGGGTTGCCTTGAGCAAGTCCCACACCTTCAGGCTCGGCTTCCCTAACTAAAGTGGTACAGAACTTCCTTCCCTGCCTGACTCAGGACATGGCCGTGAGATGAAAACCAGTGGCCCATGCTCTGTAAGTTGCAAACAGCCACCAGGTGTGACCTGCAACTTCAAGAGCACGACCCAAGGTCACACAGGAAGTTAACTGTGCGCCAACCCACCTCCCGCTGGTCTTCATCTCTGGCCCTGCTTCTCACTTAGGTAACTGTCAACCAGAATGAGAAGCAGCCAATTTGGCCTTGGTGACCCAGCTGAGAGGGAAATGCAGACACTATTTGGAAACACCGTGATCACTGACACGCAACCAAGACAGAAAAGATGTGCATGTTTTCAGTGATTGGGGAACAGGGGGGTTCTTGGACCCTTCCAGGCCTGTAGTCACCCACATCTCCCACCTCTCAGACCCCACAGAGGTCAAGAAGGCTTGATACTGAACCCACCATTGCTCTGTAAAAGAAATCTAAGGGTGAGGGGAAATAGAAATTGCCTATTCCTGACCCTCAAAGTAAAAGGCCCCATTCAGGATCAACAGAGCTGCCAGAGCTTCCTGGTGACACTTGAGAGGGCCCTGGGCCCAGGGAAAGCCCAGATCTCTTGCCCTGAGCCCTGAGCCCTGAGCCCCGGCTGATCCTCTCCCAGTGGTTTCAGCAGCCCAGAGAGGCAGCTTGCCTCCTGCCAGTGCCAAGGGCCTGGGCACGCCCTACCCATCCAATCTTGAACTCTTTCAGGGTCCAATCTTGAACTCCTACAGGGTCTCATGGATGCAGGCCTATGCCTGTCCTGACATTTTTCTTTTTAAAATCAATAGGGACCAAAAGAGGCTCCCCACTCCTCCCTCGTACAGCCTGCCTGGTGCAAGCAGCACCATCTCCTTTCCCTCCCTCCTGGACTGAAGAAGCCCCGCTGTGGGGCAGACCCCACCTGGCTGCTCCTGCAGGCTCACTGCACAGTAGTGAGAGGCCATGTGGAAGGGGGTGCACCCTCCACCAACATTCCCTCCCAACTTGTCACCCCAAAAGGGAAATCAAAGCACAGGTCCCTGGGACCCTTGATCCGTAGACACTGATAGTGGCTTTCCAGCCAGTTCCACAGGGTACCGTGGAACTCCCACAGGGCCTCGTCAGCAGCTCTACGGGAGGAAGGTGGGGGCAAAGGCTGAGTCTCCAGCCCTCCCCACTTCCCACTTCACCAGAACAACTCTGCTTTTATCTCTCTTGCCTGTTGTGGTTTCACTTTAAAAAATTTTGTTTTGAAGAAAAACTTCAAACCACCATTCTGAGGTTTGATCTTAGACCAGCAAGCACAGAGTCTATCCTTGCTTTTCATGTTGGCATGGCTCCGGCTTTCCAATACAAAGTGTCTTCATATCGGAGCTTGGGTCCCAGACCAAGGCCCAAGTGTATGCTTACACACACGGGTGCACGCGCAGACACATTTCATGTTTTGTTTTGTTTTTTAACCAACCCACCCTGAAGCTCTGGCCTGGGTTTGACTTGGGCAGGGGCTGGTGATCAGAGAGGTTGGGGCTTGACCTAGGCCACAATCCCCACCCAGGACTCTGTCTCCACCCCTGTGTGACACCCCACTTCCCAGCCCAGGCCCTCAGGGTGTCAGGAGGATCAGGGTGACTGGAGAAGGAGAAGCTAGAGCCAGGTTCAACTACATTCAGTGAGGGAGATGGACACCCAGGTTCACACAAAGACATACTGAACGAGGACTTTATGACAAAAGTCTCTTCCCTGAGGTCAGGAGTCCCCCAGAGACCTTTCAAGCACCAAGTTTCCTTGAGTAATTCCAATAGGATTCTATTACCACAATTGTGGCCAACCAAGCATGTGGACAACAGGAGATTTTGTGCCCCCAAAGAGGCTGGCCCCCTCAGGAGGTCGCCTGAATTCTTTCTCTGCCTACCTGCCCCTCTGCCCAGGCCCCTCATGGGCACTCAATAGCAGGTGGGTACTTTTGGACCAGCCCTTGGCACAAAATCCCACCTCCTAGGACATTCTAGATGTGAATGTGAAGCTCAGGGCACTGCAAGCCACATGACATGGGAGAAAGAGAGTGCCATCGGATACTTTATGTTCAACCTGTGCCCTTGGAGACCCTGCTGGCCTCAGTTTCTACATGTGTAAAATGGGGCCAGTACCAGGTTGTGCTCACCTTCATAGGGATCGTTGCAAGGGCCACGGGGAGGGGTGTAGGCAAGGAGATAGTTTGAAGTGGCAGCATATGAGAGACAGGTGCCTTACAAACTTGGGGTGAGGTCCTGTCCTGGGTGGCCAATCTGCAGAGCCCCCAGGGAACCGGTGCAGAATGTACCGTCCCCCTGGGCAGCTGTGCTCAGCAGTGAGGTCTGGTCCCAAATGCTCTGGGACTACCTCTTCCTATGAGCAAGCATATGAGTCCTGGGCCGGGGGAGGTGGGGTGGCTGGGTGGGTCTCCAGGTCTGTGGCCCTTCTGTGAAGTGACTGTCGGTTATTCTGTGGCCCTCTCACTCCTGGACCCCTCCAGGTGAATCGGCTGCACCTGTGGCATTCCTTAGTTCGTCAGATAAGTTATTCCAGTTTATTCAACTCCAACAGAACAAATGAACAAACGAACCACAAGGAGGAGGCCAATAAAGGTCTTTTGTGACAGAAGATGCTGCTCTCCTTTTATTTCTGTTTCCTAAGCCCCTGGCAGGACAGAGAGCAGGAAGTGCTGTCCTGCTGCCCTGGACAAGGTTTGGTGCCTTCTTCCCTTGTCTGGCCCCAACTCCAACCTGGTCCTTATATCCCTTCTGCTGCCAAGAACTTCCTTCCTGTCCAGTCCTGTCGTTGTCCAGCATGGGAGAAGCTGCTGAGCCTCTGATCCCTCTCAGAACCCACAGGATGCCATGGCCCTTGGGTGAGACCCTTCTTCTATCCTTAACTCCACTGCCCTCATTTGGAGTCAGTCCTAAGCCCTGCCTTAGCTCTGGCTCTTGTTCTTTTCCCATCTCTTGTTCTTCCTGGACTTCTTCCTGAGGTAACTTCAGGTTTTGAAGCCTTCCCTGCCACCTAGGCTAACAGAACGCATGGAGAAATAGGGATCTATGTGAGGAAGAGTTCATATTTTTTCCTGGTACTGGGGATTAAAGCCAAAGGTGCTTAATGAGCCACCTCCCCAGCCCTTCTTATTTTTCATTTTGAGAAAGGGACAGGGCCTCATTAAGTTGCTGAAGCTGGCCTTGAACCTGCGATCCTCCTGCCTCAGCCTCCTGAGTTGCTGGGATTACAGGCATGTGCCATCATGCCCAGCAGGCCGATCGCCTCTTGACACAACAATAACAACAAAATCAACATTGTATAGAGGACTATAACAGGATCCAGAGTCTACACAATATAACTTTTACAATGTCCAAAACACAACCTGAAATTACTCAACATACAAGGAACCAGGAAACTAGTGACAGAAAACTAGCCTCCATCAACAGATGCCAACTTAGGACTTAGAATTCTGTTTCAAATTATCAAATTGAGGTAGCAATTATAACTTGAAGTGGACGGGACAGTCATTGTTTAGAGCAGGGAGATGGAAACTTAAAAAATATATAGAAATTTTGGAATTGAAAAATGTAATATCTGAAGTAAAATATTCACTGGATGGATTTATAGCAAAATGGAAGTGGTAGAGAAAAGATTTAATGACCTTGAGATAGATCAATAGATATTATATCTGGAAAAAAAAAGAAAAAAAGTTGAAAAAATGAACAGAGCCTCAGGGACCTGTGGAACACCACCTTAGGGTCTGAGATTCATGTCATTTGACTCCAGAAGAAAGGAAAAAGAGACTGTTGAGGAAATAATGGCAAAATTGGGGAAAGACAATTCACATATTCAAGAAGCTAAACCTTAAACCCCGAACAAGTTAAACTCAAGGAAAACCACACAGATACCTATGATAAAATTGCATATAATGAAATCAAAGATAAATAAAAACAAAAAAAATTCCTAGAGAAAATAACACATTCTTGTATGTCTTTCCATTCAAAGAATTGCCATCAAAATTCTCAATTAAAAACACAGGAGCCAGAAGGATGTGAAACAGGTTTAAAGTGGTAAAAGAAAAGAATTGTCAACTTATAAATATCCTTCAAGGCGAATACAAAATATGGAGGCTCTTTTTCTTTGTTTTCTTTTTTCTCCCTGCCCCACCCCCACCCAGTGCTGGGATTGAACCCAAGACCTTAGTTCATGCTAGGTGAACACTCTACCACTGAGCTAGATCTCCCGCCTGTACAGATTATCAGTGAAGGAAAACTAAGAAATTGTCACCAGCAGACTCTAAAAAAGAATCCTAAACAAAATTATTTAGGTTGAGCCAATCATGGTGGCACACACCAGTATTCCCAGCTACTGCAGAGACTGAGGCAGGAGGATTCCCGATTTGAGGCCAGCCTCAGCAATTTAATGAGTCCCTGTCAAAAAATAAAAAAGGATGGGGATATAGTTCAGAGTTAGAACTGTTGCCTAGCTTGTGTAGAACCTGGGTTCAATCCCCAGTACTGAAAAGAAAAATTAGGTTGAAGGAAATTGATGCCAGAGATAAACCCAGATCTTCAGGAATTAAGAGCACAGAGATGGTAACTGTTTGAGTAAAAATAAAAAATATGTATGACTATTGAAAGGAAAAACTATAAAACTTTTGATGGGGCCTTATCAATGTTGATAAATAGAAATATATATGACAACTATAAGAGACAATACATGAAATATATGTGGCAACTAGAATGTGAAGATAAAGAGATTTATTTGGTTCATAAGTTTTCTATATTATGCTTGAAATGGTACAATACTAACCCTAAGTAGACTGAGAAAAGTTAGATATGTACATTGTGATCCCTAGAGCAACAACAACAAAATAGAGCCAAAAATACAAATTAAAATTAAAAAAAAAAAAACAGACTAAAAATTATTCAAATACTCTCTTTTAAAAAGGCAGGAAAGCCAAGACAACTGTTGAGAGCCACAGCCGAAGGGGCCCCAGCGAACTTCCAGCTGCCAGCAAACTTCCAGCTGCCGGCTGATGATTGGCTCACAGCGGCCCCAGCAACATCTAGCTTATTGGCTCCTCTGCGGTGATGCTCATTGGGCTGTTTCCCTGCCCTTTCAGACCACGGAGCTGCTCATTGGGGGACTTTTTTGGCTCCACCCACATGACCCAGCCAATCGGCCTCAAGAGCAGGAGGATTGTGGGAGGTGGAGAGAGGCTTGTGTTGGAGAGAGAGGCTTGTGGGAAGCAGGTGGTGGCAATTGGGGCTCTGAGGGTTTTTCCTGAGAGGCTGTTTTGTTTGGCGTGTGTGGTTCTAAAAATAAAGTTAGTTTCTTTTGACAAGTGGCTCCTGATTGTGCCCAGCCAGACTGCGGCATTCGGTGGCTCGCACGGGGAGTGACTGAGGGTAAGTGATAAGGTAAACTGCTCGCCCCTGAGGGTAGGGCGAGAGGATGGGGAGCCATTTTAAGATTCCTCTTTTGTTTTGCTTCACTTTTGTTTTAAGTTGCCTGTCCCTGGAGATGAGTGAGATGGAAGAAAAACCGCTCACATCTGAGGAAAAACTATTTGCGTCTGAGGAACAGATAGGGAGAAAGGCTATAATGATTTTTTGTTGTTCCATTTTTATTTCATTCTATCTTGGTTTTGTTTGGTGTTATCTTGTTGGGTTGTATTATAGTAGAAATATGGGATCAGAAATTAGTAAAAAACAAACCGAAAGAGTGTTAAGTAAATTGTTAGAGGAAGGAGGCATCCCAGTAAAATCAAGAGCAGTCAGGGCATACGTTGATACAATACAAAAATGTAGCCCATGGCTTTTTAAGGAGGAGTTGTTAAATATATCACAATGGAACCATCATGGTGAAGATTTAAAAAGAATAGAAAAGAAAAGCCCAGGGACTCTGCCAGTTGGCACATTGCCATTGTGGACGTTCGTATCTTGTTTGCTTAGTCCAAAGCCTTCAGTTCAGACAATGGTAGAGGACGGAGAAGACATATTGATTCAAGTAAAAGAGAAGGTCTCTCAAGCTAGTCAGACAGAGGAAAA